GCTAATATGCTTCTGTACATTGTGCTGCCTTCTACTTGTCAGGAATGGGAAATGTCTGGTTGAGTGGTGAAATATTGCAGAGCTACTTCTGCTTCTGTGAAGGCAATAGTTGGGGATGCTGAAGAGTGTGGGTTTTTTCCCTTTTTTGCTTTTTCAGAAATCTAGCTTGCAAGTCAGTTCCCAGTGGTTGTCAAATCTGAGCCAAGCTAGCTGAGCCACTAACCTGGGGACCGAGAAAGCTGTGCAGTGCTGCTCTAGGGGATAGTAAGGAGAAGAAACAGGGAGGAAATCTAGTATTTTCCCATGTTTTCCTGCCTCTAAGATGAAAAAAATTAACCATCTGTGCTGTAATGGTATCTGAGTATCAATCTTTTACTGCTAGCTCTTTAACTTCACTGTGTCTGGCATTCAAGTCTACATTAAGCATATAGGTTGTTCATAGCATGACATCTAATCTAATTTTCAGGGGAAAAACCCTATGCAAAACCCTATGCATTTGCAGCAGTCCTTTGAGTCAGGCATTCTATTATGTGGTTAGACTGAATTTTTCTTCCCATAACAGGTAAAAATGTTCACATTATGTGCCTTTGCCCAAATAAGTAAAAAAAAAAGTTTATATTTCTCATACCAGAAAAAAAAAAGTTTTATTTTAAAGAGTTAATAAAACATTTGACAACGGTTTCACTACTTCCCAATACAGCACTACTAATCCAGTTGTGTCTATGTAAGCTTTGGTTTGTTTTTATTATTGAGAAGGTAATTTTCAACAAAGCATGTATGTTGAGCTTAATTCTAACCTCAACAGCTTCTGAGTTCTTCTGGAATTCTTGTTTAGTCAGTTAACCAAGGGGCTGCTTAGGAGGATGTATTTTATATGCAGTATAAAGTTGCTATAAAACAAGTTTTATTCAAACTCCTGGTACAGTGATGCAGGAAACAATGACCGTGTAGTAATTCAGGAGCTCTTGAAGACAGTAGCACAATCCCAACAGCTTGAGACAAGTACTCAACGAGATTTTAAAGGTGAGTAAAAATAGTTAAAACCAGTCAAAGTACTTTTTAAACTTGTTTTTCAGATATTTCAGCTGACTGTTTTGTTTGTACCTATATTTTGCATGAGGGCACACATGAACCTTTCCCAAATCAAACAGCCTCCTGTTTTACTTCCACTGTGGAAATATATGTAATGGTTAAATACTCAGTATGAGGTTGTCTCGTGTGTTGGTTTCTTAAACGGACAGGATGTAGTTGAATGACTGTGGCTGGGCAGAGGGAGCTGGAAAAAAATTCCCACGCCTGCTGTTGAAATGTACGGTAACTTAGTTTACATCTACAGTAGTAGTTGAGTTGTGAGCTTCTGAGGCTTAATGTTGAGTTGAGGGGCAGCATAGCCTTATGATGAATGGTGTTGTGCAAGTTAGAAGTTAGCTCATCCCCCAAAATGCTACAAATAAGCGCTATATTAGGTAGAAAGTTTTAGAAGCATTTTATTCATAGTGTACAGAAGGACTGTGGGTAAGAAAATGGAGAAGTCTTTCACTGAGTTTTCTAAAATGCATGCTGCTACAACTGGCTTATTTTTCCTCCTCATGACTAAATTGAAAGCAAAATCAGAACTATATAAAAAGAGATTGAAGGAGAAAGGAAATCTTGACAGATAGAATAGAGTAGACATTAGCTGTAAATGGTCATGGATATAGCACATTGTCTTGTTTTCCTCCCTGTTCTCAGGAAATGCTGTGTTTCACCTACACTGATTAGCTCTACCAGTTATTGATGTATGTCTTCTTACAGCTGCAGTCATTCTATGCATCTCAGAGTATCTATGTAAGAGACCCTTAGGCTGCATATAGAACCATAAGACAAACGGGAGAAGAGTAGTGGGATGACTTTCTCCAGGCTGTTTTCACTGCCTAAATTCAGAGAACTGAAATTAGCCATCTATGAGTTGCCTATGGAGGAGCCTGCAGAAGGCAGCTGGTTAGGTTAGCTGCTTTGTATTAGGTGTCTCCTGATTGTTCTGAAGCATTTTTTGGAATACTTCGTTTTTCTTTAAAAGGCCATGGAAATGTGCTGCAGCTACGATTAGCAACACAGCTTTCTATTACTCCTTTGTTAAGCTAAGACATTGGCTTTTAACTATAAATGTATTGAGGGGAGTCTTCAAGAAATTTGTGCTTTTTGATATGCCCTTATGCCATAAATTCTTTTGCATTTCTCACTTAAAATTTCCTTTAAAAAATTACTGTACTAATTATCAAAGTGAAAGCTTCTACACCTACCTGGAGTATTTCTTGGCACTGAAATGTTGCAGACCCTTCTCTGAAGAAGTTGACATTCCAGGACATGAATATAGGGTGTGAAGGAGCAGAAGATTATACAGTAAAAAAGGCACTCACGTTGTCTTAAGCTTTATTTTCCTGCCTGTGGAACCGTGCTGCCTTTTTCTTGTATCATTTATTTTGGTATTACTGTTTGTATGTCAACGTGCTTATTTTCTTGGAAAGACTTTATATTAATAACCACCCCCCCCCCCCCCCCCCCATTTTCAGTGGTGCTGTTAACAGAGGTCGACAAACTCACTAAAGACGCTCAGCATGCTTTGCGAAGAACAATGGAGAAATACATGGCGACCTGCAGGTTGATCCTGTGCTGCAACTCCATGTCAAAAATTATAGGACCTATTCAAAGCAGATGCCTGGCTGTACGAGTGCCTGCTCCCAGCATTGAGGATGTATGTTGAAACAGAACGAAAGAGTAGTTATTTAAAACTTCTTACTAGATAAATATTTCATAAGTCCACAGCAAGAACTTTACTTCCATAAAGTGACCTGTTTCTCTTTGCGGTGGGTGACTTGCCAAACATGTCTTATGAAAGACTGGTTTGTCTCTGGTCCAGAAGTGTTTCAAGCAGGAGAATCTTTAGGGGCTGAAAACGTTAAATATTGCACTCCTTGCTATCTTTTTTCCATCTAGATCTGCCATGTCTTGTCCAGTGTGTGTAAGAAAGAAGGCTTGACTCTTCCACAGGAACTGGCTCAAAGGGTTGCAGAGAAATCTGGCAGGAATCTTCGGAAGGCACTACTTATGTGTGAGTCCTGCAGAGTACAACAGTAAGTCACTGATAAAAATGAATGGAAGTTATACTTGCAGACACAAAAATGAACTTACTTCTGAGGCCTTCTTAGAAAAGGTGACAGTTTGCTTTGATTTTAATTTTTTTAAAAATATTATTATATAGGTATCCTTTTACTGCTGATCAAGATATTCCTGAGATGGACTGGGAAGTTTATTTGAGAGAAACTGCAAATGCTATTGTTGGGCAACAGACACCACAAAGGTAGGTGAATACATTTGCTTGTAGCTATAAATTATGTTTTTGGTGTAATCTCAAACCTACAAAAAAAGTTATATTTAAAAATGTGTCATCTTTACTTGAGCTATATGTAATTTTCTGGCTTTTTTACTAGACCTGGTACTTTGCAGTCAGAGGAAGTGAGCTTTAAAATTACCAGAGGAGGCTGAATGAGCTTCAGGAATGGAAACAGTTGTTGATTTTTCGTTGTTGAAGCTTTGTCATCAAAAGAGAGCATAAGCAAGCCATAAGCTTAGTTGCATGTAATGCTGTCTTTTTTTTTTTTTTTTTTTTTTTTTTTTTTTTGGAGGGGTGGGGTCTTTTCTCTTTATTTAAGGCTCCTCTTTCACCATCTTCAGGATAACACACCTTTATAAAAGAACTAGAAATGATAAATCATTCCTTTTTTTTAACCATTTCAGGAGATGCCCCCTTTATCCATCTCTGTGTCATATACACAGCCTGATCCTTTTAGTTTGTTCCATATGTTACATGTCACTTCAATTCTTGTGTTTAATTTATATGCTTGTAGCCTCTAACCTGATATCAAAAGTTGAGAATTGATAACTGTGTCACTTTCTGCCACCTAATTATCTTACCCCTGCTTGTAAACAATGAAGACAGAAAAACAGTGTAAAGGAATCCTGTGGCTCTAATCAATGTTGTGGTGTCTTCTCACTAATCTTAAGCATGAATAATAATTTAGATATGAAGAGGAATTAAAGGGAGACAAGCCTGAGACAAATTCTAATAGCCTTGTAGCTTCTAGATTAACTGAGACCATTGTAACTAGAGTGTATGTAACTTATCTTACTGTTTTGAATAAAAGGTGATATGTAGCATGTTAATTAAAACTGACTTGTGCAATGCTTTTGGGTTTAAAATAACACACAAAAACAAAAACAGAAAAAAATTTGCTTGGGTTGACTTTTGTTTTTCATGCAGCATATTTCACAAATAATGAAAACACATTAGTATGCTTTGGGGACATACTTCTGATATTTTGTGGTGTCTTTGCAACAGGCTTTTGGAGGTCCGTGGACGGCTTTATGAACTCTTGACACACTGCATTCCTCCTGAGATTATAATGAAGGTAATTCAGCTATCTAACACTTAATGTGTTATAAATATTAATGCTATGGCAGTCTCAATTTGAGTTTAAAAAAAGCCAACACCAAAATATCACAAATTATCCAAATATTAATGAAAAGGTGTGTCCTTTCCAAATAGACATGAGTGACCAAAATATACTTTTCTCTTGTGTCTTTTTTTTTCACTAGAGCAACCAAAATAGTCCAGGTTATCACTCCGAAGCAGTAATTAAAGACCTCATTCCTGCAAACACTGATACGTACATAGCCTTCACTTCTCATGATCCTCAGTCAATATACTAGACAGTTTAGTTAGGTTCATGCTCAAATATATTTAGGCATGATGGTTTTGAGTTGTGTAGATTTTTGGGGGCAGGAAGTTTCTGTTCTCTAATTTAGAAAGTGTAAATGTCTAGTTTGTTTTTGTTGCGGGCTTCATTGTTCACACCTCTGTTGAATGGTTTACTAAAACTTATTCTGTGATCACAAAACAGCAGCCTCATAGCTGAGTAGAAGCAGGGCATGCTTTGTCCCCCTGAAGACTTCTCAGGCCAGTTTCTGTATTGAGGCATAGATATATTTTATGGGCTAATTTTGGTATGGTTTGCTTTCTTTTGTAAAAGTTTTGTTGTTACAAGTTCAGTATTTGCTATGTCCTAGTGGAGAGGTTTGCTGAAGGATGCTAGACCAGAAGGTCTCGTCAAAGACAGATATCATCTTGGGAGGAAAAAAAGCAAATTGGATGTGCATGTTTTTATTTTAGGCAGAATGAATGCTGAAGACAACTAGAGCAGAAAAAAGATTAAAGCTGTTTGCAACTTACCCTAGGTAGACTTTGCCATCAGACGAAATTACAAGATAAATTTCTTTTCTCATTAACTGATTTCTGCTTTTGACAGTTTTGATAGACATTTTTTTAACTTTCTTTTCTCATCGTAGGTTAGTAGATCCTGCATTGCCCTGTTTGAGGACTGTTGTCATCAGGCCAAAAGTAGATGTTCTCTACCCACTCCCTCTTCATAAACCTTAAATAGTCTAGAGATACTTCTCATTTAATCCGGACCATTTTAATAGGGATGGATTTGCAATTATTTTATTGCTGTCTCGAATATAAAATAATGCATATTTGGTTTTTGTATTGACTGAAGTACTGCTGTAAAGTATCTTTTGTGTGTCTATACATATGTATATATGTAAATATAAACAGATATACTTAAATGGTAAATAAGCCCTTTCCTTGTTATTTGTTAATGTTGTTTCTCTTTGTGTTCCATGCTGTTGAGATAGCAAGGGTATTAAAATCACTTACTTCCTGTCTTGATAAAAAGCTCTCCCCAGGGTCATATGCCTGCTTGCAGTAGAGAGTACAGTATTTGGAGATGAGGTTAATTTATTTTCTTTATTAAGGCATAAGTAGTTCCAGTATATTATTTTTTCCCATCTAAGAACACAATAGGTGACATCTATTTTGACATGAGTGAACTATTGGTTATAGCTTGGCTATTTTCAGAGAAATTAGGGTATACTCCTAACAAAAAATACATAATTTTTCAAATACTGTCCTGTTTTTTTTTCCCCTTTTAGGGCCTCCTGACAGAACTTCTAAATAACTGTGATGGACAACTGAAAGGAGAAGTTGCACAGATGGCAGCTTTCTATGAACACCGCCTGCAACTGGGCAGCAAAGCCATTTATCATCTGGAAGCATTCGTAGCAAAGTTTATGGCAATTTACAAGAAATTTATGGAGGATGGTCTAGATGACATGATGTTTTAACTCTGATGACTGAAGTCCTACACAGAATGTTGTGTCATGATGCCAGTAATGTTACAAATGTTACCTACTTGTCCCTGCTCAATTGCATGTGGGTCTAGTTCAAAGTCAAATATTTTATTTTGCTATTAACGTAAAACACAGTGAACTAAAGAACAATATTTGTTCAGTTTTAGAAACCAGATGGATTGTTTGACAGCCACAAATCCATCTTTAGATCCATAAAAAATACATTAACCTTCAGAAAGACAAGTTGCCTTGGAAGATGTGTAAGATCATAGCTGCTTTGCAGGATTTGTAAGCTGATGTTACAAAGAGAGAACATTGATGCTGCATGCTTGATTTTTGACTGTTCGTGGGCAAGGCTGTAAGCAAAAGATGGTTCTTCATGTTGTGGTAAGTTCCAGTTTGAGCATACGTGTTCTGCCAACCAATTGATATATCTTGCTGTTTGTCTGGCTTCTTTTAGCTTAGCCACGCTGTGTTCTGTGCTTTGCTGACACAGAATGTTTTCTGACTCTTGTTTGTAAGCAGTTGCATCAAAATTGTGGATGAGCAATACTTTCATGTTGGTTGTAAATCAGTTTGACAACACAGAACATTTTATTTAGAAGGAATATACCTATTATAAAGCAGGTCCACTTGCTGTCTGACACTTTCAGGTTCACCTCAACATGCATAATGCTGTTCAGATAAAGATTATTCCTTTGACTGTGGTTTAACCAAGGGTAAGATTTAAACTTTTAACAAATATTCTTTCACCTCTTAATTTGATATGTGGTGTTTTTAAAATGGTAAAATAAATTGTAAAAATCTGAACAACAAATGAAATGCTGAGTTAGTGTTTTCTGCTGTCTGTGACTGCCTAGGTATGTGCGTTCATTTGCTTTGATGTAGACTGTCTTTCAGAAAGGTAGGTGTTATACACCCCCTTCCACTGTAGGACTAAAGGGAGCCACTGAAGTTTAAAAAACCCAGCCCCATAAAATGATAAAAAAATGCAACTTTATGCTGCAAGTCTCTCACATGTTATGCCTATGTACTATGGTACACTAAAAATTACTGAATTCATGCCCTTCGATGGTATTTAAAGTTAAAGTGAATTAAATAATGTTTCTTATTCCCCACGCCTTTTATTTTAGCAGGGAAGGGTTTAATATTTGGGGATTTTTCTGTTGGGTCAAGTTATGCATAATGTCAGTTTTTTGGAAGCTAGGGCCCTCCCTCTAGTATTTGATAAAGAATCTCGCTAATTACTAACTGTGTCCTCCCCTTTAAAATGTACAGAAGGCAGCATGAATCCTTAAAAAGGTAGTGTCACTGCCATTCTCAGAAACTTGACCATCCCGTGTGTGGTATCAATGCAGAGCTTGCCTTCAGATTCATTCTCAGTAAGATGGTGCTGACCTGGTTCATGCTCAACTGATCTCCATAAAACTGAAGAAGTCTAGAAGATGGATTTTTTTTCTTTTGTCTGCTCTTGTAACCCAAATCTATAGCACTCGTAGCTTGTCAGAGTGTGAGTGCCTTGATTGTCAGAGATTCTGGAAAACTTAAATTAGTGATAGTGGAAATAAGTACTTAAGTCCATTACAAAGAAGAGCGCAAGAATAGCAGAAGGGGCATAATTACTGCGTGTACAAATTGCTCGCTCTTTCAGGAGCCTCGTCTTGTCTACTAATTTCTGAAAGCCGAACAAACTTAACATTTGCCTACTACAACTATAGCATGTGATTCCGCAAAAGTGAGAGTTTGAAAAATGGTGAAACACTTCCTTCCCCCTTCCTGAAAAACCCAACCACAAAAACTAATGTGGGAGAAGATGGATGGATTTGTGAAACACAGTTGAAATGCACAGGGGCAGTATTGATGCAGAAGGTGGAGAGGCAGGAGCTGGGTTGTGGATTTGTCAGTTGGAGGAGGCAGAGGAGCAGCTTGCTTTTTCAAAAGAGCTCAGCAGCTTTATCTAGGAGACTGAAACCCCAACATAATGTCTCTGTAGGTGTTCTTCCTGCATCTTCTTGAAGTTGTGTTTTTATCAGGTTCTATCTGGGATGAATCAAGAGTAGTCAAGGATGGAAAAATGGGATAGTGACCAGGGGTCACTGAGAGAGGAAATGGCTATCACTGTTCCTGAAAGCCAGCATTTCCCCTGCTGATCCTGCTCCTGCCTCTTTGTCTTCTGCACTCTAGAACACACAATTTTAAACACAAGGGCACAGTAACTCTTAAGTCTCTGCACACAATTTTCCTTCTGACAGTAATTTTTAAGGCAATTTTGCCTTAGTATCTATAACAGGCTGCCTAGGGAAGTGGTCATGGCTTTAAGCCTGTTGGAGTTCAAGGAGCATCTGGATGATGCTCTTAGTTTTAGGTAGTCCTGCGAGCAGCAGGGAGTTGGACTTGATGGTTTTTAGGGGTTCCTTCCAGCTTGAGAGATTCTATGATAATGATCAGCAAGTGTTGTGCTTTTTGGGACCATCTTAGAGGCTAACCACCTTGGATGCTGCTTCCCTTCCCCTTAGTGTAGCTGTAGCACTTGCTCAGAGGTGATGTGGTGCAGAGCTGAGGGCCTGGGCTGTGCTGGAGGATGCAGGGACCAGTAACCCCCATCATCTGTGCTGCGCTCTGACAAATGGGGCTGATGGGAATGTGTGAGCGGTGGCTGTCAGAAACAAAAAGGAGTTTTCTGCCAGTTTTTCCTCTCAGGAGGTTGCCATTTAACCCTTTTACTGGAAAAGCAGAACCTTAGCCTGGTAAGCGGGGGTGTCCTGGGGCGGGCACAGCTGCATCCGTAGCCCCCGTGCACACAGCTGGTGACAGCGCTGTGCTGGACTTACACTGAGCACTGCACACCTGCTTCACAGATCAGGTGGGACAGGCAGTGCTTTAAACTTTTAGGCTTTTAAACACTGAATAACACAGGACCAACCTCTAGATGATCCGTTTCTTCAGCTGATTTAATCTTTTGAGACCTGCTTAGAATTGCTTCTGAACTGCATGCTGCGAGGATTACCCTTGGTTTCATCCCGTGCCACCTCCTGCTAGGTCCAGATGAAAACTCCAAGCTGCTCCCACCCAGGTGGGATGTAAGCACTGAACAAGTCTAAGAGGTTGCAGAGGAGTCAGCTTCATGCTAGGACAGAAAACCAGAGGTGAAACTGATTTTGAAAAAAATTATCAAGAAACTAAAACATTTGCTGTCTTTAGTTAAAACTTTCTCTGCCCTGCAAAGATCAGCTGTGCAAATGGCAAGTTGTGCATTCAGACTTTATGCCCCATTTCTGAAGCCCATGTTAACTCCTGTGAGAAACTTTATTTTTAAAATAATATTTTTTTTTAGACATCCATTGTAAACAATTGTACTTCAGCATTAATCATAATAAATGTATTGTCTGATTGGAAGATTACTTTTAAAATGTATTTTGTCAAATAAATTCATATGAGCAAAGCTGACATGAGGAGTGTCCCCTTCTCTGCCAAAAAAGTACCCTGATTATCACAGGCTAGAAGGTATGGTAGATAAGAGTTCATTATCACAAATTTTCTTTCTAGTGCAGGAAATTCAAGATTATTACAGTTCATTGATATAAAATAATAGCTGTAATTTGTCTTGTTGGAAAGAGCTCTGCTATGCCTGAGCAGCCTTTAATCCTTCTTGCTTAATATTTTTTGCCTATGCTAACAATTGGTGCTGTATGAGTTTGTTGCCTTGGATTTCAATCAATGACCCAAACCAAAACCCAGAGTTGTAGTCTGCTAAACAAAAGTTGTCTTAACATGACAGTGAAATGTGCTTCTAGTTGCTGAAGGCCAAAATACTTCCCTTTATCGTTATATTTCATAAGGAGGGAAGGAATGTAAAATCATAAGCATGCAAAAGAAATTAACCTCTGTTGTCAAATGTGCCCTGCAGGCTAATCAATTGTACATCATGCAAGTTGCATGTCAGGAATTAGTTGCACAGCACAAAATGATGAAGATTTAAAAGAGTTTGCCATTAACTTCAATACATTGGGGAATTTACTCAGAATTTTCCCTGTCACCAAAATTGAAATGATCTTCTGTCCAAATTAACTAGGACACTGGGGCCTAACCCAGTATTATTTTTTTAAAGCAGTGGATACTTTGCTTGTCTGAAAGCTGAGCCCACTAGCAATTAAACATTCCTTTAAGAGATTTTCTTATACAATTGTCTACGGTGTGTGTCCTGAACTTCTGGAAGAAATTATATACTCTCTTTCAGCACACCTGGAGCTAGTAAAGATCCCAATCATTTGAGTGTTAGATGGTATTTCTGTGGGTATGGGTTTGACATTTCTTAAATAGGAGTGAGACATAATACAAGCAGAAAGAGCCTGACGCATCTAACTTCACCACTGACACCACTGGTCCACCTGTGTTTCTCCTAGCAGAGGTGCTGGGGCACCCATCACCGCCTCTGTCCTGGCACCTTCTTGGAGCTGATCTTCAGTCCTGTCCCAAGACATGGAGTAGGTGTTGGTCTTTCACTATGGAGCCTGCCTTAGGAACAAGGTGCTATGAGATGTCATCTAAAATGCTGGGCAGCAGCTAAGGTTGCTGTCTTCTGCTTCCCTGCAGTAACACAGTGCTGGGAGCATCCTTGCTGCCACGCCAGAGTGCTCTGTCAAAGTTAGTCATGGTCCAGTAGCAATGTGTGCGGGTGACTCAGGAGTACCTGCAGCTTGGAGGAATGTCTGTTTTGCTGTGTCAAGGGAAACCTCTGCCTTTGGTACAGAACTGCTTTGTCAGGAATGTGTCCCTGATCCTCCTTTAAGTGACTTTCAGCTCTTAATCAAAATTACAATTTCTTAGTCCCATGGAAGTTCTGCAGTTACTTTTAACTCTGGCTTGGGGACCATCTCACAGAAGTTAGTCAATCAGTATTATTATTTTTCTACACAGACTTCTCAGTGTTATTCCCAAAGTAATTTCATGCCACGGTAACTGCTGGAGTGCAGGTTCCTATCTCCACCTTGTTCATGCAGTCTTTTGCCCAGGGTCCCTTTGAACCACATCTGTGCTGCCCTTGAGATTTCTCTTCCTCTTCAGGTCCCCTTCTCACCTGGTTTGCCGAGGAAGCTGAAATATCTGAAATCGATTTCCAAGAAAAAAGGTGGGTGGAAACAGCAGGGGCTGGTTTGAGGGTGGCTTGGGAAAGGTAGAGGAGGTCAACTACCAGAAAGCATGCATGAAGATGAGGCAGGGAGGGCT